ATCCAGGACTTAATTTAATATGATAAGACTGAGTGATTACATCAAAGGTCTTTTTTCAGAAAGTCCCTCTTTCCCTTTATTGCTGTTAAGTATTCAGAGTTTGAAACTGCAATCTCATGAAGCCAATAAACATTGCTTGGATACTAACTAACTCTTGTCACTTTTAAGACAATTTCCCAGGAGGCTTTTTTTTGACAAGGGCAGCAGATGAATAGAGCAGCTGCCTCAAGGGAAAGAGCTTTTAAATCTAGAGAGCATGGACTTTAATTCCTTACTGTGGAAATCAATTGCTGGCTCACACTCTCCATTTGCAAGATCCACTCCAGTACATCCAATTTGTTTAATGAAAGCCCAAGAGACTTGTTAACACGATTACTATTATTATTTTCATCACAATTCCTCTTCTGAAATCCTTTGAGTCGGTCATTTTACTTGGTGGTTGGATATCTTGTGTACTGCCTGCACACAGAGTTCATTTTCTGTAAAATCCTTCTTTTTCTTCTAATCAGTATCTCTCATACAAAGGAAGTGCAGATAAAGTTAAGTCTTACCTTGGAGGATAAGACTTAATTGTATACCATTTCTTTCAGGATCTGGAGAAATAAAACTAATAAAAGGTGCTTAGAAATAACAAGAGTGCTTTAATAAAAACATGTTTGCATTTCATCATTGTAACTCTGTCCCTGAGATCTCAAGGCTAAAGAAAGTATGTTCCAGCTGCATTTGCTGGTCTGTGACAGTAATAAAGATGTTACAATTGCACATTGGAAGGTTGTTTCCATAATAAATTACATTCACTCCTGGCCCCTCACCCGGCAGAAAATACAAAGAACTCCATTTTGTGCTCCCCAATTTAGTGACCCCTAGACTGAATAATTGAGGGAAAAAAAACCTATCAATGTGTCAACTATCAATGAGCTGGATTATGGTCCATACTTTCAATGAACAGGCCTTCATTCAATACTGGATTGATTCAGGCCAATTCAACTCTATAGATACAAAGTGACTGAAGGATTTTAAATATTTACATATTCCACCCTTCAAAATACTGCCTTGCAAATCCCAGTTGAAAGGTTTACAATAAAAAAAACATTAAATATCACTACTAATTGTTGCTAAAGCAGTAAATCACAAATAAAAAAATGGAAAAGTTCCAAGATTTATATTCACATAATTTATCATTAAAGCCATTCTAAATTATCCCACACATTTTTATGTATATATTCTGTTTTCAGGATAATGTATCCCCAATTGAGTAAAGGGAATCGGATACCTCGTGGAAGTGACACAATTACCATTTTTTTTAAATTGTTCATTTTAAATTTTTGTCCACTGCTCCTCAGAACAAAGTTGCAGTAAAGGTTTCCTATAGCAAATAAAGCTGTTACTCCCTTGCACTAATCCAGATATACTCTTATGTTTCCCATCAGAACCGCTACTTAAGAGATACAAAATAAAAGCACCTACACTTGTCTTATGAATCATCCCACGCTATTTGTAACGTTTTAAAATCTACTGTATGCAAAAGCTGTATGCAAAACTCCCCCCCCCCATCAGGCAAACTTTCGCAAAACCGAAAGAACCGGCAAAAGAAAGACAAGGCTCTCCTCAGCACTTACTACCAATTTCAGCCAATCATAATTGTCCTTTGCTCTATTATCTTGTTAAAGTCCCAATTCCATTTGGCGTGGACGAGATAAAGTGGGTGGGGTCAGACGCAGCAGAGCTTTTCGGGAATGGTAGTTTAATGTTCTTTTTCCTATAAAGGCAGGGAAAGGGACTTTTAAAGTAGGGAGGAAGAGCGCCGCCTTGTAGGTTTGTGATGTCTGTCTGTACTCGCGTCTCCCCTTTGATGATCTGAAAACCTGATTTATAAAGCTGGGTGGCTTCATAAAAGGCTATTTTTTAAAAAACAAAAAACCGAGAAGTGTTAAATTTGGCTCTTTCTGTTTTGGTTCTGTTTCCTTTAGTATCTCTATCTTTAGTCTAAAGAATTAATGCTTTAAATCACTGCCCTCCCAAGATGCTTGCAGAAATTGTTCCTGTTGTTATTGCTGAAGAGATGTTAGTTTGTGTTCCAAGGGAACTAACTGTACTGGCATGAGAAAGTTCGGGCTTTGTTTCTGCTATTTCTAGGGCAGTGTTTCTCAACCTTGACAATTTTAAGGCATGTGGACTTCAACTCCCAGAATTCCACAGCCAGCATTGCTGGCTGTGGAATTCTGGGAGTTGAAGTCCACATGCCTTAAAATTGTCAAGGTTGAGAAACACTGTTCTAGGGAGACCTAAAATTTGAGACAGTTTATTTATGAGTACCTCCGTCTTTATTTTGCAAATAACTCAAGGTGGTAAAATATATCCAACACACCTTCCTCCTCTTATTTTCCCCACACCAACTAATCTCTGAGGTGGGTTGGGCTGAGAGGGAGTGAAAAATCACCCAGCTGGTTTTCATAGCTAAGGCAGGACTAGAACTCTGGGTCTCCTGCTTTCCAGACCAAACTGATTGAATTACTGTAAATTTGGTTTTGTTTTGGTTTCTTTGTTTTTGCTTTATTTTATTGTATTTTGATTTTTTTTATCCTGCCTTTATTATTTTTTCAAAAAACCCTCAATCCTAGATCCAGTCCTATTAATGTTGAGCTCAAAAGGAGAATATATTCTTAACTCCTCTTGGTGGTGGCTGTTTGAATTGCAAAAATCTAAATGCTACTTAGGAATACCGACTGAAAGATGCCTAATAGGACTGAGATGATTTAGTAGATTTTAATCTCTTTGATTTGTGTTACTCATGGGTCAAATGAAGAGAAAACTAAGGGTTGACTGCTTTATCAAATAATACCCATGACACCTTTGGGTGTTTTGTGAATGGTTGTTATTTACAGATAAGGCAGACTGCAGTGCCTCTGTTTAATGGACCTTGTTTTTACAAATTACTAATTTCACCTCCCAAAAGGAAGGGGTGTGGTGGTGGGGAGGGTAAATTTAGTTAGCATCGTTTCTAACTAACCATTTTGATTAAAAGGCAACACACACACACACACACACACACACACACACACACACACACACTAATACTTCATGGATTTGATGAAATGGAGTAGGTTCCCAAAAGTGACACTATCACATAATTGGTCTTTAAGACACTACAAAATCTTATTTTTGCTGCAATGAGAACAAAATATAACTTTCTGAACTCTATTGTTTTCTGAAATTATGTGATACTGTTACTCAAGCTAGTAATAAACTAGCTTCTCTGGGTTTGTGGCAGGGAGATTGATAAATGGAAGCCTTCAATGCATGTGAGTGAATTTTACATACATACAGAAACTTGTGAACCTTCAAGTTTTGGAAGAGGAGCAACTTTGCATTAAATTCAAAGGAGCAAACAAGGGACAACTTTCAAAATGGGGATTTTCCAAATTGATTTATTGAAACGTCATAGAGTGAATGCTAGTTGCATATTGACAGGGAAGTATGAAAAAAAAGGAAACAGCATTTTGGAAAAGTGTGGTTGTCTGGAATCAAGTTATTGATGATTTATCTCTCCCCCCCATTTATGTAGCTGTGTAAATAATGTAAAGATTGTAGGAAGGGAACCACAATAATCTTTTGTAGCAAAACATCAGGATTCTGAGACCAACTTTTCTGCTTATTTAGCATAGAACAAAATAACAGAGTGGGAAAAGACGTTAGAGATCTTCTAGTCCAGGGCTTTTCAACCTTTTCACTCATTGTACCACTTTTAGGATATGGCAATCGCCTAGCAAGGTATCAAAAACTTGATGACCAAAAAAAAAAAAAAAAAAAAAAAAAGGAAAAAAGTGATAAAAGTACAGGTAGTCCTCAACTTACAACAATTCGCTTAGTGATTGTTCGAAGTTACAATGGCACTGGAAAAAGTGCCCCCCCCCCCGAGGCACAGCCAAGCAAGACACCTGCCTGCCCAGCTGGCGGCGCTCTTCCTCCTGTCCAAGGTTTTCATTGTTGTGAGCATTTCTGTTGAGGATTGGCAGAGGGGGTGGGGTGGGGGGGTTGTTTGGTTTTTATTCCCCCCGTCTGCTGGCTGGTTGCAGCAGGTTTTGGTCATTTCACATGTTCCTGGGACACTGTGACCGTCATAAATATGAATCAGTTGCCAAGCATCTGTATGTAAATCACAAAACCCTGGAGATGCTGCAACATTCCAGCTGATTGGCGCTTCTTCTGGGCTCAGCAGAAGCACCAGGATCAGTGCAGAACTCCAGCTGGACACTGGCGCTGATCCTGGTGCTTCCACTGAGCCCTGACAGCCCTGCAGCTCCAGCCATCTCTCGCTCAAGCTTGTGCGGTGCTGCCACCATTTCAGCTCATTCCCCTCCCCCGCTACCACTTTTCTAGGATGTTCGCGTACCACCTGCCAGGTGCCAATGTACCACAGGTGGTATCCGTACCACTGGTTGAAAAGCCCTGTTCTAGTCTACCCATCTGCTCAAGCAGGAGGCCCTATACTATTTCAGAGAAATGGTTGTTCAGTCTCTTCTTAAAAACCTCCAGTAAGGGAGCACCTACAACTTCTGGAGGCCAGCCATTCCATTGGTTAATTGTTCTCACAGTCAGGAAATTCCTCCTTAATTTCTTGATTGCTTCTCTTCTTCCTAAGTTTCTATTTGTTGCTTCTTGTTCTGCCTTCAGGTGCTTTGGGTTGTTGGGTTATTCTAGCAGTGGGAGAGGCCTAACGCTTGGCTCTCTTTCTTTTGAAGCCAAAAGTTGGCATTCCATCAAAACACTGAAAATGTTACTAATATATTTTGGGAAATCACATATTCTAGGGATGAGGGATGAGCTCTCCAGTGGCGATTGTAATATGCTGATGCTAGTTCCTTTCTCTTCCATACCAGAAACTGTTCTTTTTCTGCAGCTCCAGAGGACAGGATATTGCTATTAACTCCTTCAGCTATTGCCTTTTGCCACCCCAGTGAAGAAGCCGAATTAGCCTTTCCTGTTCCTGTGGAAGAGCCATGGAGCTGCAACACATTGTAAAGAAGCTGCAGCGGGAACTAACCTGTTCCATTTGTAGCAAGAGTTTCTTAAATCCGACAACGCTTGCCTGCGGGCACAATTTCTGCCATGCCTGCATTGTGAGTTACTGGGGACAATTTCCCCTTGAGATTGCTTGCCCTCAGTGTCAGGAGAAAATTCCTCGGCTGAACTTTATACCAAACGGGCAGCTGGCGAATATTACAAAACTGGTCGAAGAGTTGAGCGTTGATATAAAACAAATCAGAGAAGAGGGCCAGGTGTGTAAGGACCACCCTCCGGCTCTCAAGGCTTTCTGCAGGGATGAGCTCGTCGTTTTCTGTTCGATGTGTGACAGATCACAGGAGCATCAGGCTCATAACGTTGTCCCTGTGGCTGAGGCTGCCGAAGAGTACAAGGTGAGAACCTTTGGCGCAAGCTGTCCGTGTCAGCTTCCAAAGGTGACTTTTTTCAAGATGCAACTGGAAAATATTAGGGAAAATATTGGAATGTGCAGAAATGAATAGACTAACAATGACAATTAAAGATAAGACAGAGTCAGACTACTATGAAATTTGGGGAACTTTTTATGATTGGCTGAAAAGAGAATACAGTTAAAAGATAGTTAACATCAATTTAGATGGAAGAAGAAGGAGCAGATAAGGAGGGAGACCCAGGCGACACAGTATTGAATAACTGCAGGCTGTATAAATGTTTATAGAAGTATATACCGAGAAGGTTAGATAAATACAAGTATTAATCTTATTGTATATAATACAGATAGGGAAATTTGGAGAGAGGAATTGCTCGGACATTACCCCTGAATTGTATCTGAAGAGAGATAAAGAAAGGAGAGGAGAGAGAAAAGAGTAAAGGAGGGGAGAAGGAAGTAGGAAGGTTGGAAGAAGAGGAAAGGGGAGGAGAGTGGTGAAGGAGAGGAGAGGAAGAGGGAAGTAGGGAAGAGAAGAAAGGGAGAAAGAAAGTAGAGAAGAAGGAGTGTGGATACGGTGAAAGGGGAAATGGGCGAGCAACACCAAAGTTATGTGTATGTATTTATTTCATTTTGTTAAAAGTATCTGTATGTGAGTGTGGAGGGAATGTATGTTAACATCTGATAAGTACTACGGTATATGTATGGGGGAGAGTTTGGAAAAATAAAAAAATTATTAAAAAAAAAAAAGGTGAGAACCTTTGGTGCAAGCTGTCCATGTCAGCTTCCAAAGGTGATTTTTTTCAAGATTCAACTGGACTTCCTTGTTTTTCTTTGAAGACGTTTCGCTTCTCATCCAAGAAGCTTCTTCATCTCTGACTGGATGGCGGGGAGCACAAGGATTTATACTCCTTGCAGACAGCTGGTCATTTGCATTCTTTTAGGGAGTCATTGAGGTCACTTGGAGGTTTATCTGTGTTCTCAGAATCACCTGAGTAGTGTGAATGGGTGTGGAGCCTTCTTGGCTGCATGATGTTTTCTGCCCTGCATGATGTTTTCTGCCCGATTTTTGCTGTTGAAGATAGGTGGAGGCTACTGGGGATGAGTCTGTGATGTCTGAATCTCAAACTGAAGCACAAATGGTTCCTGTAGTCTGCAACAGTGAAGGGACACAGGATGGAAAAACATCCTGCAGCCAAGAAGGCTCTACACACATTTGCACTACTCAGGTGGTTCTGAGGATACAGGTAAACCTCCACATGGCCCCAACAACTCTGTAAAAAAATGCAAATGACCAGCTGTCTGCAAGGAGTATAAATCCTTCCGTTCCCCCACCATCCAGTCAGAGCTGAAGAAGCTTCTTGGATGAGAAATGAAGCATCTTCAAAGAAAAACAAGAAAGTCCAGTTGCCTCCTGAAAAAAAGCACTTTTGTGACAATCATATCTGGATGACTGAGAATCTCCACAGTTGTCCATGTCAGCTGTTGAGGTAGTCTAGACAAGAAGGATAAACGATGATGATTAACACTATCTTTATTGTGAGAATATAGAATCTTGCAAGTCTGGAAGTATTTCTCCTTTCTTTTGCTTTTATTTTCAGAAAATTAGGAATGGTTCCTTTTGAAATGCTTCCCATGGCTTTTTTTTAAATACTATGGGGTGATATTCCTTTTGCTTGATGATTATCTATACCAGTGATGGCGAACCTTTTAGAGACTGAGTGCCCAAACTGCAACCCAAAACCCATTTATGTATCGTCAGGTACCGGGTGGGCATGGCCCATTGAGTGGGCATGGCTGCAGTGATAATAGCAGACTGGGTGGGACTAAAAAGTTCAATCAATCAATTCCAACTTTGCGAGATCTTTTTTTTTTCCGTGAGAAGTTGAAATTGATTGATTGAACCTTTTTTTTTTTTGCACATGGCAGCAGAGGTCTAAAGCGAAAAGGTTTTATAAAACCTAGCTGAAGGCCTAGGACTGGGGCAATGGCGCACGTGCCCACAGAGAGGGCTCTGCGTGCCGCCTGTGGCACGCATGCCATAGGTTCGCCACCATGGATCTAGATTGTATCTCTTCCTTCTGTCTCCCAAGGTCATTCTCACATGACATTGCATCCAAAAGTACAGGTATTCCTTGATTTACAACCATCATTGAGCCCAAAATTTCTGTTGCTAAGTGAAACATTTGTTAAATGAGTTTTGCCCCATTTGATGATCTTTCTTGCCACAGTTGTTAAGTAAATCACTGCAGTTAAATTAGTAACATGGTTGTTAAGTGACTCTGGCTTCCCCATTGACTTTGCTTGTCAGAAGATTGCAAAAGGTGATCACATGACCCCGGGACACCGCAGCCATCACAAATATAAGTCAGCTGCAAAATATTTTAATTTTGATCACATGATCCTGCACTGATTCTAAGGGTGAAAAATGGTCAGAAGTCATTTTTTTCAGTGCCATTGTATTTCTGAATGGTCACTAAATGAATGTCGCTAATTCAAGGACTACCTGAATCTCTTCCTTCTATCTCCCAAGGTCCTTCACAAAGATCATTACATTCAAGAGTACAAGGTGGGAATCTGTGGGCAGAAACTGCACAAGCACAGAAGGGGGGAACTTATAGCACTATGGCATTGGGAAAAATAGTTGCTTCTTTCCTTTTTTAAAAACAAAAGCAGAAGAGGGGAGAAAATCTGCAAAAAAAAGATGAAAGCAATGAGACAGGCAGTTTGCCAATGCTATATGATTTATTTGTACATGTTGCTTAAGATTTAAACCCATATTTTGGCCACTGTTGACCAATTAATTTTTCCTTGAAATAAAGATAGTTCATTGGAAACCATCTCTATATAGGTAAAAGATATGTGAACAATTGGTTATCAAATGGAGAATTTGAACTGGGAAAAAGGTGTAATTTAAAAAAAAAGACCAATTTCAAAGTATTTCTGAAATAATAATTCAGAATAGTAAGTTTGTTTCTTCTAGATTTGAAATAGTTATCATTTTATTTATTAGATGTTATTATTCCTTAGTAATAGAACACCTTTTCCCAACTATATGGTTTGTATTGGAAATGAACACGTGAAGTTCCCATGAATCACAAATTTTTTACATGACCCTTCCTCTGCCAGCATTAGCTGTGCTGGTTGACTTGATGGGAGATTGAATTTAATGCAATGAAATGTTTTCAGCATGAAAAATTCTGAAATAAAGCTTTCAGGCCAAGACAGAAAATCGGCAATCTTGATTTTTCTCTCTTTTCACTTTATGCCAGCAACCATTTACACTCCTGTGCAAAGTACATAAACATTTACTCTACAATGGGTGGAAGAGACCGGTTTGTGAGTTTAGGTCTTTACAAGCAGGGAGGATGTTGTGTTTGCAAACACTGTACTAGTGATTTGTGAATAAAGCAACTATGGCTTATTTCACAAACTTATGCTTGCAGTTTCCCTACTTGTGCAACATTTAACTTCAAAGACAGAACCCAAGGGTGGTTTTTCAAGAGGCAACTACACTTACTTTTCTTCCCCTTGAAGACATTTTGCTTCTCATCCAGGAAGCTTCTTCAGACTGAAGAACTGAACTGAAGAAGCTTCTTGGATGAGAAATGAAATGTCTTCAAGGAAAAAGAAAAAAAAGCCCAGTTGTTTTTTGAAAAAGCGTCTTTGGGACAACTATGACCTGGATGACTGAGAATCTCCATCGCCATTTAGAGTCAGAACTTAAAGAGGAGGTGAAGTGAGGTGGAGGAAAAAGAGTCAGAACAGGGACTGTTACAATCTTTGATGATATCCTCCTCCTATTTGGTAATTACCTTGTGATGATATCCTCCTTGTTGTGTCCTGAGCCTGCAGAAGGCAGGCTCGGGACGTTGCAACAGTCCCGGGCAGTTGCAAGCTGCCCGGGACCAGACTGGCTGGCGCCAGCACTCGCACGCATGCGTGAAGTGCAAAGCGTGCCAAATGTTGCCGTTTGGCCCGGGGATTGTCTTTAAGAGGAGGAGAGAGGCTTGTGTGCCTCGGCGTTGTAACAGAGCTGCTAGTCACCAATAAAGAGGCTCCTGAGAACTACCAAATGATTCCTGAAGTTATTGCCTTTCGCGAAGGACTCAACACTCCTAGTATTCAATGATTATTTCGATATCTTTTTTTCTTTTAGGGCCATTTGTTAACTGTTATGGGGACTTTAGAAAATGAGAAAGAAAAGATTTCAAAATATCACTCAGAAGAAGGAACTGAAGCTGTGGCCCTAATTGTAAGTGTTACTAAGAAAAGGCTTTTCTTTTTAATGTTGTTTGGAATATTTACGGTATTTTCCGGCATATAAGACGACTTGGCGTATAAGACGACCTCCGACTTCGGAGAACATTTGCATGGTTTAGATTAGAAAGTCATCTTATACACCAGAAAATACGGTACCTAAAATAGTTTAGTCTTCTCCAAGGATATTTTTGCAAAGTTTCCCTTGAGTTTGATTCCTGGAGACTACATGGGCAGTTCCATATTGTTTTCAACCATATGGAAATATTATCCCATGGGTGTTTGCCAAGATGAGATTTTTAAAATGATTATTTTCCAATCTACAACCATTGGATTCTTTAGTGTTCTTCCACCCAAGGGTGCTTTTTCAAGCGGCAACTGGACTTCCTTTGTTTTTCCTTGAAGGTGTTTTGCTTCTCATCTAAGAAGATTCTTCAGTTCAGTTCAGTTCTTCAGAACTAAAGAAACTTCTTAGATGAGAAGTAAAGCATCTTCAAAGAAAAACAAAGGAAGTCCAGTTGCCTCATGAAAAAGCAAACATGATTAAGAATCTCCAGAAACATCCCATCCAAATTCTAACTAAGTGCAAACCTGCTTAGTTTTTTTTTTTTTAAGATTAGTAAGACTGATGATGCTACTGTCTGCTGGGAAATTTTCTGTAAAATGTGATGTGTTTGAAAAGCCACTAAGGCTAAACAAGGAGTAGATAACCTTTGGAAGGCTGGTAGCATATTAGGCATGTTA